AGACGATTTTACTCGTCAGAGCGCTGGCACTTAATTGGCTAAACCATAGGTAATAACCATAATTGACATTTAAAGTTAAGTTTAAAACTGGCCTCAAAACATAGTCCTCAAATAAGTTCTTTTTGCTTTTCTGTACTTTGCAACACTTTCCCATGTTGTTTATATTTGTCCTCATATGTTGACGAACCTCTGAGGCCTTACATCCATACATGTTGATAGCTGTAAAAAGACAAATACATTTATTTTATGTATACCATTCCAATGTGTTTTGTTAACCCATTAAATATGCCTAAATGCACCCAATTTATTATTTTACTCTAAGTGGAGAGTCTAGCACTTTAATAGAATAAACACAGTAAAATAACAAAGTACTAAAAGTAGGGCACATTGCTTCTAAATATGCCACACAGCAGCTTTTGCAGTTAATTATTAACCTTTCAATGACCAACATTCATTTTGATTAGTAAAATCATCTGATAAAAATCATCTGATAAATATCAAAGTACTGAAAGTGGGGATTGAGTGTTAGGGTGAATTGCATCTAAATGTGCTAACGCCAAATAATGCAAAATAGTCTGGTATTAACAGGGCAAAATATTGAACTTTGAAATAGAGCGCATTAGTGTGAATTTGTGAATTGGGTCTTAATGAGTTTACACAAAACACAGGGAGACAGCAAGGTAACCTATCAAAGTTGTCCACTCTCTTTCAAGTAAAATGATCTGGTGTTAGACAAGGTAAAATAAAAAAAGTGCTGAAAGTTGAGCACATTCATCTTAACAAGTTAGCATGAAATGTAAGCTAGCAGAGAGCCTGGTTAATATGAATACCATCACATAGTTATGTTTAATTAATAGAAAAACCTGGCATTACACTACAGCATGTCTCTAAAGGCTAACAGATTTTAATACATTGACTGGTGCAAGACCTCTCAAAATGAAAATTGTTTAATTTAAACAAAACGTATGAATAAATACTGCTGCTGATTTGAGCAAGTAGTTAAATTTTCTATAGGCATGTATTAAATATGGCTGACAATTTACAATTAATCTGGCATATACAGTTGGCACTTGGGATATACAAATATATTAATAAACATGGATAAGTCTGATTCAAATATAAAACTTTTATAGTAGCATTTGTTGAAGTATAAACGCTATAAATATATTTATATCAGCATTCTAATTCCGTTTATATTGTCGCGGCAAATTCAAATTTTATCGAACCACATGCTCGAATTTCACAAAAGAAGATTGCAGGTATTTCCTTTATAATTTGCTTTATTATAAATAAAATATAAACTTATTCTTACCTGAACATTATGCAAACATCCCTGATGTATTACAAGTGAAAATCCAGTTGAATCCCATCAAAAATAGTTCTATTTTGCACATAAACCATTGACAAACACTGACTTGAAAAAATATCGCAGGTGTGATGATCTATCCCTTGACGCTTTGCGCGCGTGGCAAGGAAACTAGACACCAGTCTGTCAGTCGCGTACATTGCGGTAATTATTCATTTAATCTTAGAAAATAAATAGTCCCAGTATTAAATTCTCTATTAATAAATGTCTATGAGTAAAATACGATATAGGAATAGTGTAGTTGTACAAGAAATTAAAATTCCTATAAGAATTCTTATAGGATATGATAATGGTGAAAAAATTCCTATAAGAAATAGAAATTCCTGTAGGAAGGAGTTATTTCGTAAATTATATTTACCTGTATAATTTTTAATATAAGTAAAGTTCTTATATCCATGCATGTATCAGGCCATAGTGGTATAGGCTATGAATTTCCCCCACCATTTTCCAATCCTATAAGAATTCCTATAGGAATTTTTATTTCCTATAGGATTTTTTTTAACCATTTTCAAATCCTGTAGGAATTTTCATTTCCTAGGAATTCCTATAGCCACTTTCCATTCCTATAGGAATTCCTATAGGAATATTTTTTCCTATAGGATTTTTTTCACCAGTTTCAATTCCTATAGGAATTCCTATAGGAATTTTCAATGCCAATAGGAATTCCTATAGGAAATTTCAATTCCTATAGGAATTCCTATAGGAATTTTCAATGCCTATAAGAATTCCTATAGGAAATTTTAATTCCTATAGGAATTCCTATAGGAATTTTCAATTCCTATAGGAAATTTCAATTCCTATAGGAAATTTCAATTCCTATAGGAATTCCTATAGGTATTTTTTTGACCATTTTCAATTCCTATAGGAATTCCTATAGGAATTTTCAATTCATATAGGAATACCTATAGGAATTTTCAATTCGTATAGGAATTCCTATAGGAATTTTGATTTCCTATAGGAATTCCTATAGGAAATTTTCGTAAGGGATTGACCAGTACTTATTTAATGTCTTCTTCATCCAGTGGTCAGAGTAAATTTCTACTTCTAGAAAGTAAATATTTGACAAGCAGTCTGGAATAAGCACAGGTCTTTTAATGCATCAGCCAAATCCAAGTGTGCCCATCCCCCTCGCCCAGCCATTTTCCTGTAAAGCACATCCCGGGGGTTGGGCATTTCCACTCGAACCTTAGCCCCGGCGGGGCATTTGAAATTAATAATTTGGATTCTTGCACTTCACTTGTGGAATTAATATTAGAATGTTAGGGTTTGTAATACAAGTGAGAATATATACATGTATATATTTTGTAATCCAAGTGAGAATATTTTGTAATCCAAGTGAGAATATACAAATGTATAGTACATGTATATATTTTGTGTATATATTTTGTAATCCAAATGAGAATAGTTTGTAATCCAAGTGAGAATATACAAATGTATATATTCTCACTTGGATTACAAACCCTAAAATTCTAATTTTAATTCCACCAAGTGAAGTGCAAGAATCCAAATTATTGAAGTCCACCCTATCACAATTAACCCGCACACCCGATTACCTAAATATACATGAACTTACGGTTAAAGCTCAACAGCTGGCCTCTGTAGCTCAGTTGGTTAGAGCGCTGCACCGGAATCGCAGGGCCGTAGGTTCAATTCCTACCAGAGGACCTTGTGCTACATTTTTCGCAGTCGATCCTGGTTAGGTCTTAAAATGTATATATTCTCACTTGATTACAAACCCTAACATTCTAATATTAAGTCCACCAAGTGAAGTGCCAGAATCCAAATTATTGAAGTCCACCTTATCATAACCCGCACACCCGATTACTTAAATATACATGAACTTACGGTTAAAGCTCAACAGCTGGCCTCTGTAGCTCAGTTGGTTAGGGCGCTGCACCGGAATCGCAGGGCCGTAGGTTCAATTCCTACCAGAGGACCTTGTGCTGCATTTTTCGCAGTCGTCCCTGGTTAGGTCTTAAAATGCATATAATTATTCTCACTTGGATTACAAACCCTAACATTCTAACATTTGAAATTAAGGATTTGGAGGTTTTGCGATCACTGATAACTTGATAATAATATAAAACAAAACACTTCTATCTGCAACTTTTACAATCACTGATAACTTGATAATAATTTAAACCAGTCAAGTTGTAGTTTAAATAGAGAATAATGCATGGGTGCACGAAATACCAGATTTATTTCGAGTGTTGAACATGAGTGTGCAGCGAACAAGTGAGCGCAGCGAACAAGTGAGCGCAGCGAACAAGTGAGATGTCATGTTCAACACGAAAAATAAATCTGGTATTTCCAACCACCCATGTATTTTTCTGTTTATTATATAAAGGACAGTCTTAAATGAAAAGCGATAATTTTTACAGAAAAGCGATAATTGAAAAGGCGATAATTTTCACATGTGAGATTATCATGAATAATTTCACATGTGAGATTATCATTTTTATCAGTGCTTGAAATCTCTGTAAAACACTATACTTTATATAATAAAAATTCATAAATTTGAACCATGCTAGAGCATGACAACAGCAAAATGCTCTATAGTATGATGCACAATATTTTGGGAGGTGAAATACACGAACAATAAATCAGAGAGTGTTTGCTTGGAACTCACTGGGGTGGGGCAACACCCCTGATAATTGCTCATGAGAATTTCAGGTAGATTTCCAGTGCACTTTTAGGTAAATTTAAGTAGATTTGCAGAAGATTTTCAGGGGAATTCAGGTAATTCTCAGGACATGACAAAGTGAATTTGGAAAACAACTGTATTTTCGGAAAAATTATTATATGTCCTGAAAATGTTTTGTACATCTGGAAACATTTTGGTAACCACCCTCCCCCCCCCCATCTAACCTCACACACCCCCTATACATCTTTTGAAAACAGGTGAGGGGGTATTGCATGCATGTATTTCTAGTATATATATCTGAGCTTCTCCAGGACGAAACAGACATCCCAAAACGTGTGACATGTACTAGGTTTCCAATATTATCATTGTGTTCATTAACATCAACTTCAGTCTGTGATTCATCATATTCATTGTCATCAAAATCTTCACTTTTCTCATCCTGTATAGCAGCAACTCAGCACTTCATCGTCACTATTGTCATCGCAATCAGTGCTCTACTGTCATCGCAGATGTTTCTGCATCCGGTTGAGCAACCTCAATTTGCTGTTCCGGAATATGGTCGCTGCATTGATACCAGTCACATTTAACAACTGCTGTGCTGCAATGTGGTTTTCTATCACCTGCACTTTCTGTTTCTTTTTAAACTTCAAAATGCCAGTGATGTTATGATGTATTATATATTTATTCAAACTATTAAATTTGAGCTTTTTTATCTAATCACGATCTTTTAGAGCAACCCAGTCAAAGTCATCAAATTGCTTGCTTCAGCTGTTGAATCAGTCTTTATTTGCTGCATTCTCTTGGCTTTCTTTATGTCATTTATCTGAATATGTTCATCACATTTTAATAAAAGTGGCCCCTCGACAATGAACTTTTACAAAATTGGCTGATACGTTCTTCGTTTTGAAGTGACATGCTCCCATCTGCTAATGATTTTTTAATTTGCACCCGGGGTTGGAAGTCGTCCACATCTTTGAGCTTTCCATCTACCTCTAATGGAGTGTCCCGTACATGCAAGAAATGGAACACTGGCAGCTTTGATTCATCCGGTATCGGTTCAGAAACATATGTTACATGGGGGCCAACCCAGTCTTTCCCATCACAAAAATCACATATGACTCCCTCGGTTTCACTCTGGCATTCAAACTTGACAAACTCAAGACACTTCTCTCCCTTTCGACAACGACTTTCAAGACATTTTTCCAATCTCTGGTGATAATGATATCCAGGAACAACGGTATTCTTGGGCTTTGAAAGATACTCATCAATATATTCCTTATCAAAGAGGAATACTTTGTCAATTGAATCAGCAACAAAACTTTTCAAATATCCCCCTGACCTGGAGCACCATCAAGTCTGTGAGAAACTTTTTCACATACTTTGAAGGTATTGAACTTCATTCTCTTAAGTTTATGTTCCTCAATGTAATTTTAACTCAATTCTTCCAATTATTCTTCACATAGCCCATGAAACACTTTTTTGGACTCCCACTGTAAAGATGCTCCACCACATAATCCGTCTACAATATAGCTTTGTGCTCTTTCCACTTTATTTTCGCTGTTGCCACCTGGAGGCTGATGATGTCTGATATAATAATCCATGTTCAAAATTCTAATTCTCTGTGCTATACGAAGCTTGACATCATAATTTGATACCGAAACACCAGGCCCTGCCCCTGTCCATTCCAAGAATTGAGATTTGGGCAAAGGAAGATGCACTGAATCAACCAAAACAAGTATTCCAGTACACTTTTGCACAAGGTTTTGAACCATGTTCAATAATTCTGAGCCCAAGGCATTCCATACACTAGTCAATTGCAATAATCAAATCTCTGAGTGCCGGTATAATTTCTTCAAAGTGCTTTGATTCTTGGTCAGTGAAACTTTCTGTTTGGTACGCATAATAGTCTACAGTTTCCTCCACACATCGTTGAAGTCACTGCAATCTGCTCAGTTCGTAATTCCAGAATTTAAATGAGAATAACATTTTCCATATCCTTCATGTCAGTAGCATCTGAATAAAGCAAAACATTATCTTTGAGATTGTACATCAATGCTCTGAATCTCTTTGTCTGATAGTTTTGTTGTTCAGCAGCTTCAAATAATTGAGGCTCTTCAGTTCGGATTGACATAAATTCACTAGCCCAAACGGTGTCGGAGCTTCCTACAAAATGTTTGGATCTGGCAAAGACAAATGTAGTGTCATTAATCAACCTGATTTCTTCTTTCTCATTTATGTTAATGACTTCTTTAGACATGACTCGGTGTGTTCTAGGTGTTACATACTGGGAAGTCATATTTGGGAACCTTTCTTGCCAAAGATTAATTTGCATTTTGGTAGATACTTTGATTTCTAGCACTGTTCATGCTGGTGCCAGTACTTGGACACAGATAAGCTCTATCATCTTGACTGATTTGACAAACAGATTTTTCAGAACTCTCCTTGCATTTCTCAAAAACAATGTTCTTCTTATGGGCCCTTTGGTTATGCACTAACTCATTTCCTTCATCTTCGGCCTTGGGGGCTTTCTCCAACAAAACATCCCTGCACCAATATGATTCTTGGCTAGATTGACGTGACCTCGTTTTTTGGTAGACCACGATTGTACACCGTGCTTGCAGATCTTATTCGAGGTAACTTTCCTTCATCACTGGTAAAGTTTACAATTTTCATGAAGTCTCTCTTCTTAACGCTGTGGTTTATATTAAGTACACAACACTGTCATGCCTTCTGCCATGCGCAGTGGCTTTGTTGTCCATACACTGCACTAGGAAGTTTTCATCCAATTTTTCCAAAGTGAGACGGCGCTTTGCCCCTCTTCGCCTCCTACCTTTCTTCTCTTCTCAATTAGCTTGTACTGTACTCTCTGTACTCATAGTTTAAAGTTTTTCCTACTTTCATTACTTTCCTTTCTAATGAAGTTTGTGATGTATTTTTGTCTGTCAGTCAGATCACTTATTTCTTCCCTGAGGTCTCCTAATTGGTCTTTGGTCCACAGATTTTTTCCCTTCTGGACGTTTCTCGTTGCTTGCAATCTCCCCATTTAGCTTTTTGAGTTGCTCTGCAAGAGCAATCTCAACTATCTTCTCTGCATCCAACATTGCTTCTTTTTTCTGATTTATTGCTTGTAAAACCGTTTCTGATTTCTCAGCCACATGATCCACATTAATGCCAAGCTCGGTAATCTCTTTCTGGTAAGATCAATCTCTTGATCTCTTTGCAGTCAGCCATGCACGAAACACCTGTTTGTCCCATTCTGTGTCAAGATTGTTTAAAATGTCATGTACATGCTCTTTATAAAAGAGGCTGCTGGTTGATTTTTTATTTGGTGACGATGCCTGTATTTCCTCAAACACAAATTCCAAGTCCACGTCGTTAGATTTCAGGTTAACAAACCCTTCTCCATTTTCACATTTTGATATATACACACAATCCGTGGCGATGATGGCATAACAGTTAATTCCCTAAATCGTTCACTGACATGTTGCTGTTTCAATGCGGAAGACAAACTAGTTGGGTCATACGAAATGTAGAGAGAAAAAGCATCATTGAAGGAGAGATAGCTTTGCACAATATCTTGTTCACTTGCTGTTGCAACACGCGCTTGCAAAAGTTCAAGGACAGCATAATTACCTTTGAGATGATACACAAACGAATTAGTGATCTGTGTTTTCTCGAGCCTTTCAATAGGCCCCTTCAATACATCTCAGATCTGTTGTTTGTCAAGCCGCAGGCCTGCAACGACTTTCTTACATTTCCCGATTTCCGCGGAAGATGAAGTATTTGTGCGCGTAAATTATTTGAACTTCCTTCGTCAGGTCCTCTAGTATTTTCAGAATCAGAATAATCCATCTCATTTTCAGCCATTTTTGAATTTAATGGCCCAGAGCAGGGGCGGATCCACAATGTACAATCAAGTTTTGCGGGCGGCGAATGCGCGAGGCACTTAAGGGGGTTGTCCCCCAGGAAATTTTATATTTTTAAACCTCAGAAACGCATTTATTTGCATCACTCTGAAAACAGCTTCAACAAAAAATTAACCTCATGAAATGGGAGATAATTATAGCAATTATCAGTCTGACTGACTCTCACAACTCGCTCCTTAGGGAAAAGTAAAGGAATGTTTCATTTTATCAAATTACAGATTGCTAGTATAATGTTTAACTATCTCATGATAGTACTAGACTCATTTTTGTCGCCTAATAGCCTTGTTTAGTCATTGATCACTTCAGGCTAGTAATCACTACAGTGTCATGTTACTCAAATACACATATATCAATAATCAGGTTTTATAGATGAATCAACATTCATCTATAAAACCTGACCTTTATATCCTATGTATACTGCATTAATATAGGTTATCTTCCATATTAATAGCCTTCCGAGTTCTGACGGACCTTCAACCGCAGAATTACAAATATGCAAATTTGTTGTGTAAATCTAAATCAAGATACGCGTATTCAAGTTACAATTTTACATATGCATTTACATATATATGAATTCGCTTATAAATATTATTATGCTGTCTAAAACGAAAATAAAATTTTTTACATATCACATAAATTTACCTTATTGCACTTCAGATACTTCTACTAAAACAGTCAAACTGTAGTTCGTGCTATTCGTGGCGCTTACGCCGCTTAGCAACTGCTCACTGAATGGAACTCTCCGATATTTAGCGTTGATTTTCCTCCCAAGATCAGCGCAACAGTCTTGTAATACAGCTAAATCATTCACCGCAAATGCGGATTGAACCGTTTCGTGAATGTTACAAGGACTGGAGTCTGGAGCAGCAGACATTTCCGAATTTTCTGTAGACATCTTTAAATTTAATCTTTCGACAAAGCTACAACATGGCACTTCAAATGAGCGCGCGCTCGGAAAGACTTTACCACGCGTCAAATATTAATGATATTCCAACTAATGGAGCGCCCTGGCTTTTGTAAATCTGTCAGGACTCCCCACAAATCAGTCAAAATCGAAAAAAATCGTTTTTTCCATGGCAATAAGCGTCTAGACCAATCTGAACACTGGATTTCGACTTTTTGACTGACCAACTTTGCGTATGTCAGCTGCTCATTGACTTGACTAAGCTCGTCGGCTCAACCACTGTATGAAATTTGATCACTGGACTACAGTTCGATTGGTGAATGTTAATTGCTAGCGCTGCATGATAATAGATACTGGACTATTATGTGTCGCTGCATGATAAATAATAACTGGACTATTGGTCTAATATTTAAGACTTTAATTAAGTTTGCAATTTTTACGTTAGTCGCGTGACTGGTTTGACGACCCCTAGATCCGCCCCTGGCCAAGAGCTTCCACTTGCAACGCTTTTTCCCGAAAAGGTAAATCTGCATTTGGTTTGAAATTTAACTTGCAAATGATGGCAGTGACAAGGAAATCTACTGAAAGGAAATTGATAGTTTAACTGGACGGTTGTAGCCCGCATGGCAGGCCGTCTAAAATACCGCCTGCTGGGTTTGGCAGTGTAATTTGATAACCGCTCACTTTTTTGTCCGGGTCCAATTAGCCAATCAGCAAACAATAAATATATTAATAACTGTCAAACTATGTTATTGTTTGGTTGCAAAATTGGAAATATAAAATATGTCGAAAGAAACACCATTAAAAGTTTCAATCAGGACCTCTGAATAACCTCAAGAGGTAGAAAAGCAGGCGCTGAAAATGTAAATGTAAATGACCACTGTTGTTTGTGTATTAAGTGTGCTTTGAAACTAAAATACGGGACAATATAGAAAATATCTTATATATCGTCGGCGAAAGAAACGAGTACGACTGTGGCAAAACCTTGGCCGAAACAAGTCGAATTGTGTTCATGCAGTTCATTTAGGAATCGTCTACCTCGTAACTAACCGACCGAGTTTGTAAACCGTTTGAGCGAAAGATCCAAAACGTGAGCGAACTGATTGCCATAGTCAAACGAAACATAAACGCGTTGCCTGTGTACGTATCGAAAAAATAGACCGTTGTATATTAAAAACCTCAGTTGCCAATATGAACTGTCTCGTCTTCCGAACGGAGCCGTGTGGTAACGAAAGCCTTAAGAAGTTCAGAAAGTGAAGCGGCTAATAGACCTAGGCGTAGTAGTACTGTTATAATCCCGTTGCAAGAAAGACTATAGGGCCGTTTGTATTTATTCTCGTTATATTTTCTCGCGCCAACAAGAACAATGTCAAAATCAAACTTTTCCCATAACCTGTAGGTAGAACGGCCAAAACATTCTTTCCAAGGAGTAGATCTTTAACTGCTATCTCTTTTTGACAATCAGTTCGCGTTTTGACTTTCGAGAATCGAAGCGTTCAGTTTTTCAACACTCAACAGCTAAGCAAACGCATCATTAAACGTATGCTACATATTAAAGCCTATTAACTTTTGAGTGACAGCGGCTCAGACTCGCAGCCGTCCACTGGTGGAGGGGGAATTCGATTACACTGCCAAACCCAGTAGGCGGTATTTCCCAGGTTTGCCCGAATTTAGGGACCGCCTGCCATGCAGGCTAGGACGGTTGTGGAAGCAGTACTTCTTTCTGGATTGAAAAGTGCATACCTTGCAGAAATGTTTTGCAAAATACATTTGATTATATGTGCATATATTTGATAGTTCAATTGCTTTTTATTAGCAATAGAAAAATTTCTGAACTCATATAACCTTTCGATGTACCTCGAGGCCTTCCTTGCCAACGGATATGATGATTTTAAACAACTAACAGAAATGTCTGATGAAGAGCAACAGGATGTTGTAGCCGATGTCAATATGACAATGAAAGGTTGTGTTTGCAGATTTATTTCTGATGTCGCAGTTACGAAAAGCGCTATGAAAAACCCTCCAGCACTCACAGTAAAGGACAGTAATCGTGCTGTTATTCAAGACAAACAATCATCAAACTCTACTGCTCCAGATTGTAAGTTTAAAAAATTGAAATTTTTTATAATATTAATTTAATAAAAATGGATCTATATTTTGTATCCATAAAAAGTTTAAAAATGGTGTTTTTAGAAATAGGACCGACTTCACCCTTCAGTTGAGTGGTTGAGTATATATTATAAAATGGTTTAAAAATTGTTGGTATTCAGTATAGGAAAGGTATTTTTTTACAAAATCAACCATTCTGCAATAGCAAAATATGAAATTAAATATTAATTTGTGTTAATATTAATATATATATTTTAAACAGATGGCAAAAAAATAAAAGAAGTGGTATAGATCAGATATATATTAAATATTACTGAATTCTAACATGGAAAGTTCAAAGTCATGGTTCATATTTCATATTCAAAACATGTTTGCATTCCTGTTAATTTGCAGTACCCAAAGCAATCAAACATCTACTGATTCCAAATCCGTGAAATCTACGCTACAGTTACTCCTTTCCAAATTAAAGACTATTTCTCGGGACAGTGGATTCATCGATGGAGACAGGTTTCAAAGCGAAAAGAACATGAAAACTCTTTTAATGATCTGAACTCGACTGATTCACAGAATGGCAATAGCATGAATGTTAACAAGTATTTGAAGGACAGTGCCAGTGGAAACTTTACATGTTATGATGTGTCAAGGGCAGAATATACAAAGGATCTTCTGTCAAAATTTTTAAAAAATGTTTTGCTCACAAAGAAAACCTTCTGGCCCTCAGGGCACAGTTGCTCGATGCAAATTCTATTCTAAAGAAGGTATGGAAGGCAAATGAGTCAAAATTTTATGACTCGGAAATTTCAGTCTATGCCAACATGTTTAAGGTTGTGTCAGAGAAGTATGGCAGAGTGGAAGCTACCGCAATACTGTTAAGGCGTAGATTTCTCTTGAAAGATATGGATGAAGCAGAATAGAGACGATCCAAGAAAAGAAAAAAAGAAAACAAGAAGAAAGCGGAAAAGCGATTGAACTCAAGATCTAGTGAAGCAATTGTTAAACTAGTGCGTCTGATGGCCCCAGAACGAACTGCAAACCTTTCAGATGAAGATCGGATCTCCCCTGTCCTGTTTAATATTTCAACAGAAGAATTGGAAAAATTTGACAAAATACAGTTAAGGCCACGATTTCATTTACAAGAACTTAAAGAAATTATATTTGAGCAACAAATGTTTGAAGACAGTTCAAACTAGTCAATGAGATCAAAGACAATTTGGAAAAGATATCATTGACGACTGCAGAAAATAAAAAGGAAGAAATAACACAAAAAATGTAGCAGAAAAAAACCCCAACAAATGACCTTGTTTGCTGTTGGTGTTTCGCGCTGTTAATGAAAGATTTGTATAAACATTGCATAGCAATTTCTAAAATTGATATTTGGATTGGGTGTATACATGAACCAGAACTGAGGATTTTAGAAAGCTTTATCTGTACCTTCTCAAAGTTGTAGACAAGATATTGATGTTGTTTACGCCAACACGCATAATATTACATAACTAAAAATTATTCGAGGCCGTCTTTTGTTAAAAGGTGGATAGGTTATTAGAAATTGGACCCTTTCAGTGAGTTAATCGCGATCGTTTCTCGTCATAGATCCGAGTTGTTCAACAATGAAAAAATTTGTCATGAAATTAGTCAAGATAAAATTGCAGTTTGTAAGAAAACTTTAGGTCCACAAAGCGTGAACTTTTCGGATTTGAACTCAGCGTGTTCGAAAGTGTTAGTCCACGTAAAAATATTTCAGTTGCAAGACATGGGAAATGAAAATTTTTTAGGCACTTTTCGAGGTCACAACAAACGGCCCATTCTGGAATTCGAACAGAAGAAAATGAGATCTCTACATATGAACTGACTATAGATGTAACGATTTGAATACGAATGAAATAACAGACATGCAGTTGGCCTTGAATTTTGTTATTGGTAGTGTTGTTTCACAGCTTTTGCGTAAGGTGGTACTTGCTGCCTTTGACCAATAGCTCATTCAGGTGGCACTTCTTAGGACCACCTGTCAGTGGGAACTTCTAAGACATATCTCATGTCTTGTATACATTTATGCTGATCTAGTTTACTGTTGTTGTGTAAGGTATTTCAGCTATTTATTACAATTTTTTTACCTATATTGTCACTATGTTTTAACTATTTCATAATATTTATTAAATATGTCAAATCTATATATTTTTAATAATTTCCTTAAATAGCTCTATTTTTATCATATTTGAAACCTATTTAATTTCTATTCGAGTATATCAATTAAGTATTTGTTTAGAAATATATCATGAATAGGAAAAAAATATGGTTCCACTTGGATAGGAAAAAAATAGCCTTTCTACCCTATTTTAAATAGGAAAAACCTCGAAAAAAAATAATAGTAAAAATAGGAAATAAATACTTTGACATGCAAATAGGAATTAAATAGCCCAATAAAATAGGAATTTTAAAAATAGCAATTAAATAGTGTTTAATTCTACAAGGGCCGGGGTAGTTTTATGTTGTTTAAACGTAGCCAGGTCTTCTTTGTTGTAAATTCGGCAAGGCTTGTCGTGACCTGGTGCACGCGCCATAATCACACCGTCGATCAGGGCGCTTATATAATGGGCGGTGAAACGGATATAGGCGCGCTGATCGATGTGTGATGCGGCAGACTGGTAACAAGTCAAGTTAGTTAGTAAAATAAATAAACATGGCGACTGCAAATTCGGAATCATTGTCAAACTCAAATACGGAGTTTTTCTTAGACGAAGAAGCTGAAAGCGAGCTTACACTTTCCGTCCGACATTCTAATCGTGTTGAATATTGCAATATCTCTGCCAATATTACAGCAAGGAGTTTGACATCGTTTCTCCAAACGCTTTTGCAAGTGTACAAGCCGCCTGCAAATGAGAACTGTATTTTAACTTTGTCAGTGGAAGCAGCATTCAATGAGAGTAAGTCTGCCCTCGTAGAAGAGTTTCTACAGAACATATTGTATTTGTTTGAAGTTTGTTTTAGCCAGGCAGGAGCAGAAAAACACTCTCAGAAATATGCAATAAGCTTAGAAAAGGCATTCGCTAAAAAACGACGTTCTAGTTTTCACCATTGTGCAATTAAATGGTCATGGGAGAGATTATTTACTAATACAGCAAGTCAGAGTAGTGAATATAATCAAGCTTCAGAACAGTTGCTGCAGCAAATTCTTCAGTACTTTTGGTCTTCAAGTAGTAATAGTTGTATTACTGTTGAAAGTCCTGAAGAGGAAGGTGAGGAAAGTACTGAAGATCCTGCTGCTTGTGATGAGAGTGATTTCGACAACATCAAAGATCATGCTGGTTGGGTAGTTAAACGAGCTAGGGAGACATTAATGAAGGGAGATAATAAAATACCGGCAAAGGAAAGTGTCACAGAGTCGACCCTTGTCTATGGAGATAAAGCTGGGGCATTGGAAATAATTTCTGCCTTGGGGAAAGATGTTAAGCAAGCAGATGGAAAATTTAGATTTATTGTTCATGAACATGTTGTTCCTTTTTTTCTGTTTCTTCATAATTTG